CCCCCCCCCCCCCTCCTCTGGTTCTTGTGTTTTTTTTTTTTTTTTTTTTTTTCCTTTATTTCTAGGCCTACCTTTGTCTTTTGACCTAGCAGTTCTACTTCTAAGGATTTATTCTCAGGTGTTAAGGTAGATGTGTAAAACTAATTATAAAAATAATGATTAAAAGTTAAAATCTTACTAGCGTGAAATTAGTCCTCATAATAAAAATGAGTGAAACTCGTTTTTAAAATAAAATCTATGCAAGGTGTTTATGTGCTGCATGGTAACTCAGTGTGGCAGGGAATCTTCTCATCTTGATTTTATAGAGAAGAAGTGAGGCACATAGAGGTTCCACAGCAGGCAGAGGTCACATGCCCAAGATACACCAGAGCCAGGACACAGTCTTTTCTGTGCTGGTCTTGAACTCTGGCTTTTCTCCATTCTCTTAACCTGTCCTCGAACTATGTGCCATTGGGTTCACAAATTTGAGTTCATCTATTCGATGGAAGAATGGCGACTCAATACTCTGACTTTTTAATGAGGACTTTGATGTATGAAACGGTGCTAAGCATTTGAAGGATATTACCTCCCAACACAGCTACATGTCTTTAACTCTGTTCCACGTATGCAAGGAAGTAAAGCTCAAAGAATTTAACTCCCAGATTCACAGAGCTCATACTTTGCTCAGAAACTAACCTTAAGTATTTCTAAGTTTCATCAGAAAATAGAAACCACTCTACATATTTCTTTTATTAATGATTTAGGATTTCAACTTAGAAAATCTTATATTATTTCAAGCACAAGACTTTCTCTGACCTGATTTTTAATTTTAATGTAGACAAATTTTTTTTTTGAATGAATGTGTGAGCTCTCTTCCACACATCTACGGAATTTGGTCAGTTTTACCTCTTCGTATGCAGTATGCTGCTTAAGAAGACCGACGTTGTCCTTTCCTTTAATGTGGCCTAGAAGGGGAGTACACCGAGAATGAAGTGTTAGCTTTAGGGAGAAGTAGGGTGGAGAATCGTAGCAGGCTTTCTGTCAGCCTGTCCACTGCACCCCACGTCTAAGGGTCACATCTCCACATTAAAGAGAAAGGTTTCCTCAGCTTTTTCTCCTCCTTGGATCTGCTGATTCAGTGATTCAAATGGATAATGCTCAAAAAAATTGGTTTATGTTGAAATTATTAAGTCATCAGAAAAAATCATGACGTATTTTTCTATGCAAAAATGCATTGTGACTTTCCCATCAGCCCAGGACTTTGGCCAACACTGGCTGGGATGAGTGTTTAGACAGGTTGTTACTGAGCTTCTCGGAGTCCTTCCTTAACATGCTCAAGTCAACTCTAAGAGGGCTTTGTTGTCAGCAGGGTCTCTGTAGGATGTTTCTCTCTGCTCAAAGTCTCATGAAAGATTAGTAGTGTTCCTTGTTACACAGTTTCGGTGTGGGGACACACTTAAGACAAGGGTCATGTATTAAGTAGGTGATAGTTTGCACATTTAAAGTCCTTTCATGGCCAATTTCTCTTGTTTTCACTAGAACTCTAGTTAACTAATCCTACTGCTATGGAGGCAGCATAACAAGAGCCACTCCGAGGAGTAAGATCTAGTCTTGGAGGGTCATGGGCCTTAGGACACTTGTGAAAAGAACAAAGAGCCTCTCGGGTATCTGGGTTTCTTACCTGTAAAGAGTTTGAAGCCCCACAAAGCTCTAAAACTGGGATCCTATAGAACTGTGTTAAATAAGCTTTTTCCCTTAGCATCTTTAATCTCTGGATGATCGTCACTTCTATAGGTCTTCATAATTTCTGCTGGTGCTTAGGCTTCACAAGGCAGATCTTCACTTGAGCAGCAGTCATCTCTTGGGTACTCTTTGTGTGTCTGACACTGTTCTAGGAGATGGAGATGCAGAGATGCACATGGCACGATGCCTGTTCTCTAGCAGAGATGGGGAAACAGATAAACAAAAAGACCAGGCAGGCACAGTGATTCGTATTCACATAGAGGTGTGTGTTGAGTGCCATTGTAGTAGAGGAAAGGCCTCCACCCTCCCTGATGGGCAAGGAACTAGACCATAAATGGTCTTTGCAAAGAATTTATACTTGAATGAATATAAGAACAGGTATTGGTGGTCAGTAAGTGATTAGATATGCTGTAGAAAGAGGTCATTATTCAGAACATTTCAGGTAGGAGAAGCATCGGGCCCAGGAGGCAGAAGGAAGCCTGGGTTTCTGAGGGAGCAAATAGATCAGTGAGGTGCAGTCAGAAAACTGAGCTGGCTGAGAAGTGGGAAGGTGGACACCATTCATATACAGAAGTGCTTTGTGTATCATATTGTATTGGGATTTTATTCCACTCAATGGGGAGGGAGGGGTGTCATTACACTATTATAGGTGAAAAAATAAGTCACATGATCAGATTAGTATTTTAGAAACATAGTTATTATGATTGTATGGAATTCAGACAAGAGTAAATGAAATTGCAAGGAGCTTTGTTGAAAGTCTCGTTCATTGCTTCAGTAGTAGTAATAGCAGCTAGCATTAATTGCCCACGTACGAGCCAGCACTGAGATAAGCTTCCTGTGTGCCTCATTTCATGTCAGGCTCACTACAGCCCTATGCCTAGTACTATCGTTTACTGGTATTTTACAGTTAGGAAAACTGCGGTTTAGGGCGATTAGATACTTGTCTAAAATTACACAGATGGTATGTAATGGAACCTAAATTTTAACAAAGGCTGGTTGATTGCAAATAGTCCTAATTATTATGCTATTTTGCCTCCAGAAATGTTTTTGATGATGATGGCTGAGAGTTGAATGTTCGCTATATGCCGAGTGCTTTGCTAAGCTATTTTCATGGACTGGATCTCATCTAATTTAAATAATGGATGTTGAGTATCTAAGGCAGTGGCAGTGGACAAGGAAGGAAAGGGCTAGATTTGGGAATCAGGCAGAATTTTGGTGTGGCTTGGTGACACATTCTGTTTGGAGGATGAATCTAGCATGAGTTCAGATTTCTGACTGGGACAAGCCAGTGACATTCATAAGGATTAGCAAAAAGGAGAGGAAGCAGGATTGGCTGGGGAAGTTGGGAGTTTGTTTTATTTTATTGTTTTAATTTTAAAAATTTTATACATTTAATCACATTATTTAGCTTACAAAGTGAACATTTCAATATGTGAACATCTCTCCCCTGTCTAGTTGATCAAAGTATCTTCAGCAGATAACACCACACCTCCCCATCCCGTCAATTCTCTGCCTCCATATTCCTCCTCCAATTAGACACGTGAAGTGAAAGATCCTGATAGGGCATGTAAGAGGAAGTGTCTAGTAGGAATTTAGAATTAGTGATCATTAACATGTGATGGCAGTGGGGCCAGACACAGAGATGATGAACACATAATTTCTTTCTCTAAAGGGAGCCTGGCCAAGGTACAAGAGAGCATGTGTCTGTCTGTACGTGTATCTGTCTATCTCATTTCCTCTTTCTTTTTTCCTCCAGTTTTCTTTTACCATAAGACATGTGCACTTGCCAGAGATAGGGAGAGGGAAAGTGAGAAATCACCACCCAGCGGGGATTGCTACATCATAGTCCCTTCTCCTCCATTCTCTACTTGGGATTTTGGGCATATGTACACATGCACACACATACACAGTGAGATTTTCAAGCTGTAGGATCCAGGACTCAACCCTTGGTTGGCTATCTGAGAGTCCAGTGTTTTAACCACCATGCCACCTGCTGGTCCCCTTTATTTCTACTCTTCAAAAAACCACCAGGAGTTAGTTATGGAGGCCTCAGCCTAGTGCCATAAATCTTTCTTTTTAGAGTTATTTAATTTTATTATTTCATAATTTGATGAGAGAGAAAGTGAGAAAGCAAGCTTCCAGGTCTGGGACTTGAACCATGGTCAGCCATAAGGGAGTCCAGCACCTTAATTACCATGTTAGCTGCTGGCCCAATGACATTAATCTTACTCTTCTCTCTAAGGCCTCACCTTTCAGCACCATGGATGGATTAAGTTTTCACCCTCTCAATCCTGTCACAACTCAATCTCAACACATGAATTTTGGGGGGACATTCAAACCATGGCATTTCCATACTTAATTCTCCTTGAGACTCTAAGAGAAAGACTTCTTTCCTGATTGCTTCAGAGGCAGCTGCTGTCTTCTTCAACAGTTGTCTCTAAGCAGCGAGGCAGTATTTTAGACATTTTTTTAATGGTTTATCACTGCTGCTGGTTATTGTCATAATATATGTTTTAACTGATGTTATTTTTAACTGAAACATATACCCTCCGGCTATGCAAGCAGAGTACTCCTGAAGCAGTTACTGCAATCTACACAGCAAGTTGTAGAGGATAAAAATAGGAGCTCAAAAACTTGGCTGCAAACGGAGGTAGAGGAAGTTATATTAAATGCCTTGGAAAGGTCCCCACTTCTGGAGAGAGGAAAGTCACTCCCATCCAATAGCAAAATAATAATATTTCTTTTATATTGAATGCTGGGCAGGTGTCTTGCAGTTAAAGAAATGTGAACATTTTAAGGAAATAGTGAATATTAGAATTAAATGCAAATTTAATTTAGCATCTATTCTTCTTTAATGCTGTCAAAATAGTTTGGGGGGGAACCTGGATTTTAGCTTTTTTTTTTCCTGTTATATTCTGTCAGCAGAGAAAGTTCTCAATGATTAAATCTCTCTTAGTTTTTATGCCTTTCGAGAGCAAGGCTTGTGGCTTGCTCACCCGTGACTATCAGAGTGCTTCCAGTGGAGTAGATGTCCTGGAAATGATTTCAGTGTTGAAATGGTTTCCTTCCAAGTTATCCATCACTACTTATCAAAACAATAATTAGTGGTGTTTTGTTTGTTTGGGCTGCTAATAGGCTAAATATTTACTACAAATTTACTGCTTTTAGCCTTAGTAAGTAAGGGTGTATATAACTTTGTCTCGAGCTTATGCTCCTGCCTTACTTTACAAAGGATATTTGTTTTATAAGTCTGTTGTTTCAGGTCTTTCTCTCCGTATTAAGTGTCTGACTACACAGCTGGATGTAACCTCCATTAGATTTGAGACAAAGATTTAAAGAAACATTTGATTAGAGATGACGGTCAATGAGTGACTAACTTTCGGTGTGAATTTGAGGAATATGTTTCTTGGCAGATTTCTTGTACATGGGCAGAGGTGAATGTGGACCCTTGGGGTGGTAAAGCTGCCTTCTCAGCCATGACGTCCTCATGAGAGAACGTATTGTCCCTTGCTTATATTCAGAGTGCTGAGGTGGATGTGGGCTTTTGCATCATTTTTGGCTATGTCTCCGTCTACAGGACTAGGTCTTCAGCGTCCCCAGAGACTTGAGGCAAAACTCTGTGCCTGCCCTAGCTCTGCCAGGACGTGGTTTTGTGACAGCTAAGTCACTATAGCTGGCGTGGGCTGCACGCCTCGTTGTCAAGGCCTTGAATGTGCTCAATGATCCACTCTTCACAGAGGTTTTCAGGCCGCGTACTCAGGTGGCTCTGAAGCATGCTTGGACTCTGGCATGCAAGGGCCACTACACGGCTCCACTTACGGGGAGAGGAAGGAGGGAGCGCTCTCTGCCTAGAGTGAAAAAGCATTCGGAAATATCAGATTACATGCTGACTTGTCTGCGTTCAAGGATACGCCTGCGCCTGCGTTACTTCCTCCATCTCCTTTCGTTTTGTCCTTTTCTCTTATAGTTCAGTCCAGAATTGGCTGCATCCTATCCAACTAGCAATAGTTGAGTTTTCAGTTTAACAAATAGTTTTCATCTTCGAGTCACTGGCAATCAGTTTATAGACGGTTGGGTTTTTTTTTAAATATATATAACTTACTTTTTGTGGGGTGCAGTGTGGTTTTTCACAGCATGCATACAGTGTGTAAGTAACAAACAGCAGACATAGTGATCTTCCCAACATTGCACGTTACCCTATCTATAGTGTACATATGAGTTCTACTAGTTTTTTTGAAGTATAATTGAGTAGTCAGTAACATTGTTTTTACTTTCATTTCTCATGATAGTTAAAACATTTTTCTTTCATCTCTCTTTATCCAACCCCTTTTCATACCTCCTAGTGATAAAGGCCAACATACCAATCCAGTCAGATTATGCTTTTTAGCTCTTAGGGAGAGTCTGGCATGGAGAGGTGCTTCTCCAAGCCCCCAGCCATTTGCCCCTTGTGTTCTCAGCTGTGTCTCCATGACAATCCAGCACTTATGTTAATGTGGTGCTTTGCAGGGAAGCTGTGGTGGGGGAATACAGGAAGAATCTCAGTGACATTGCATTTCACCATGCTGTATTCAGAAACTTGGTATCGTTTCTATTATTAATAACTACAATTTTTACAACATAACACATGTACCTCCAATGAAAATTCAGACCTATAGGCTTAAGAACTCTAAGCTTTCTGAGAAATTTTACTTAACACTGTGTTTATAGCTTTTAATAATATTGAGAAAAGATAAACTTTTTTCTTTGTTCTTTCAAAAAGTTCTAGTTCACTTAAACCTTAACTGGTTTTTCTTTCTTTTTTGGGGGAGAGGTTTTTGCTATAGGGCGTGTGCACTTGCCAGAAAGACACAGAGAGACAGAGAGACAGAAAACGGGAAATCATCCCCCCCCTCCGCCCCCCAGAGGGAAAAGGCCACACCACAATCCTTTCTCCTTCATTCTCTTCTTGGGATCTTGGGCACGCACGCACATGCACCTGGTATGAGTTTAAGCCACTGGGTCCGGGACTCGAACCACAGTCAACTACATGGCATTCCAGTGACATAGCCATTATGCCAACTGCTGGTCCCAAACCTTAACTATTTTAACCACTTGAATGATTTTTATCATTTTAAACCACTTAAGCACTTTCAACTATTATGCTTGCCAATCTTATTCATTTTATTTCTACCTGCTTCTAAAAATGCTTTATTTCTTATATTTAAGGTCATTTAGGATTAAGTTTATATTTAAACTCTAGTTTTATGGACTAGTATTTGAATGTCTTGTCCACTAATGGTCTGATGCCACTTTGAAAGTGATAGCACAGAGATATAGTAGGAAACATGACTGTTGTAATGTTCAGAATAGAACACATGGATGTTTTTCAAGACTTACTGTCTATCTTTATCATGTAGATAATAGAACATGTACAGTGGGATCAGTCTTAGGGACCCTCGTGGAGAGATGTGGCTGCAGATACGATTAGCAGTTATGCCTTCATACTTTTTCCTTAAATATTGAGCAAGTACTCAAGAGTTTTCTGTGACTTAGAGAAGCTTGGGGAAGGGGACGAGAGCCCCCACTAATTTCTATGTAATGGTGGTGTTTTTTCCAATGCTAGGCATGCAAGAGGCCTCAATGAAGCTCACCGAGTCACTGCATGAAGTCTATGAGCCCGACTGGTACGGGCGCGAAGATGTGAAAATGGTTGGCGAGGTAAGAGCTGGGATGGCAGCACACAGGAGGGTGAGGTGGCATCTGCAAGCACCCCCTACGTCCTGCTCTGTCCCCTGGCCACCCTCCCCACTTCTCAGCCTTAACCGTGAGGGGAGCCCATGTTCCCAGAAGACAAAATTCCTGCTACGTGGGTGATCCCGAACTCCTAGAGAGAGATGATTATAAGCCTCTTGGGTAGGAAGCTGTGGCTTAGCAATGATTTATGTTCAAGGTAACAATAGTGTTTTTCTTTCCATCACTACATTCTTAACAGCCATTTCTTGCAGGACTGGGTCACAGTGAGATTTTAGGTGCTCACTTCACCCCTGTCTTTAATCCCCTAAAGACTGTCCTTCCCTGAATCCAGGACAGGAGCTCAGAAGAGCTTTCATTCTACTTCCTCACCAGTCAGTCCATCACTGGGCTGCAGAGCCTGAGGATATACAAAGCTGGCCTGCTAAAAGCAATTAGCTCCGGGGAAGTTTGGGCCCTAGACATGTCTTAACACCTGAAATCACACTTCTCGCTGCAGGCCATTCAGCTGTCAGGAAGTAAGCAAGTGGATGTTGTTGCTTAGAGGAAAACAGTATCGGACAGGTCACGAGTAGCTTGGGCCGGGTCGTTCTTGGATCTGCTTGGGCCTTAGTCTCTTCATCTGCAAACTGAGAACAGCAGTCGTACCCACAAACACATTTAACTCCTTCATGAGCTTCAGATGTCATGCATGATTGTCCTAATGTCATTGTTGCATTTTCACAATAGAGTGTATTGCTCGTGCCATCGCCCTAGGCAGTGCTCAGTGCTTGTTGTGATTTCTGATGTGAGCAGGCCGTCAGCCATGGACTCTCTCACAGCCAGGTTCTTTGTTCAGAAACAGAGCGGTTGTTGGCAGGTTCCCCCTTCAGGTGGTCCCTGCAGCTCATGTAGGCACAGAACTTCTAAACTGGACGTGGCAGCCAGAGCCCAGGGGAAGGGCTGCTAGCGGAATGGAGCTGACGGTGGAGTCCTAGGCTGTTCCATGACAATTCTGACCCCGCATTGGTCTTCCTAGTCTCATTAGAACTGAGATAACGACAGAGGGTTATTTATGAATGGCCTTATTATATCTTTGAAAAACTTTTAGGATGCGGATTTGCCAAAACTCGCCTCCACACATTATTCAGTAATTGCCTCTCCTCACGTTTCTTCAATATCAGCATAACTGTGTTTCAATATCATATTTTGAAATGCTTAAGGTACTTTGTAAGTTTCTGATTAATAGTGTATAATTAAACATTTATCATAAAAGAAGAATTTTTAAGGGAATGACAGAGATGTGTACTAATATAGTTGAGACCGCACCTTCGTGTGGCGAATGTCACTGTTGATGTAATTCTCTAAGGAGATGACTGCTGTCCTACCTGCTCCTTGTGGCTTCCAGAGTTTTGGGAGTTCTCAGGTGCAGGTGCAAATATGGGCTCTTTTGGTGATGAAGGAACTGAATACCATTTGTTCAGATGATCTGCTTATATCAGAAGGTGAACCTTATTATTCGATGGTTTTAATTTGTTGTTGTTTGCCTAAAATTCTTGAATTGGAATTTGTGCCAATCAGGGTGTTTTTTATTTTATTTTATTTTATTTATTTTATTTTATTTTTTATTTCCAGAGGGTTCCTTTGCTGGCCAGAGAGAGACAAAGGGACTCAAGTCACTGGGGCTGAGACTAGAACTGTGGTTAGCCATGTGGGATCCAACTCCCTCAACCACTAGGCTATGGAGCTGACCTGAGCATTCATTTTTGAAGTGTGAAAAAGAAACTAAAGCAAATAATATATTTTTTTTTATTTAATAAGTAAAACTTAGTTCTCATATAGTGAAATTTGGAGATTGGCAGCCCAGGTATGGCATCATGGCCCCACAAGTGTCAGAAGCCCTCCTTTGCCATCCTTAGCCTGCCCTTTTCAGATTCAGGATAATGCTCTGAGCACTGGCTAGCAGCTCCCCTTTCTATATCCCAGGCAGCAGAGAGAATGGCATCTGGAAGGAGGCCACTTCCCCCTTTTTGGAACACTTCTTGAAAGTGCATCCCATTTTTCCTAGGCAGCTACATGCCTGCTAAAATTGGGGGTGCAGTAACTGAGAAGAAGAATGGGTAGAGACTAGGGACATGCAGCAGCTCCTCAAGAGAGACCCCAAATGTAGTAGTGAGAGAAACATGGAGATGACATTCTTGAGTACCTGCCACATGCCTGGGAATCTGTGAAGCACTGGATATTGCTAACTCATTTAACTGGAACGTTGAAACTCGGGGAGATGTAGTCCCCTAGTTACACCACTGGGATATGAGTCCTGCTTGGTTTAATAGACGGATCATGGGCTTTGAATTCAAGAATACAGACCCAGGTTAAAATCCAGGTTTGTTTTCAGCCATGCCCTTGGCCAAGTTATGTGGCCTCTCTTGGTGTCAGTTCTGTTCTATTTAATGGCAATAATGAGTCTTTCCTTAAAAACCCATTGTGAGAATTTAATGACTATGCATGCACGCGTGTACACACACAGACACACACACACAGTGTTCAGCCCAATGTCTTGACATAGTGATGGTAATAACAGCAGAAATACTTAATAGTATTGTGTGTACCCTACCCTGTAATGGCCATTTCCAATGTGATGAGCATTTTCTGCTCTCTCAGTGGAGGCTTAAACAATGGCTTTACTTCTGTCCAAGGTAGTTTCTAATTTTATGAATTGCTTTAGAGGTAAGTTATCTTACTGGAATTCTCAATTTTTTAGCTCTGAGTCCACCTGTAAGGACATAGGGAACTTGTAAATGTCTATATTCTTTAGTAATTCAGAATAAGAAATACATTTTTTTTAGCGAGGCTCTTGGGTAGCCTATATCATTAATTAGAACTGATGGCCAAAGTTTTTAAAAGGTTTATTGTATTATGAAATAATCCACATTCTTTCGAGCATCTATTATCTGAGAATGTATTACTTATCTAAATTTTGTAGTTTCATATTTTTAAAAGTTTGGTAAAAGTTAGATGCTGAGTTATCCAATTAAAATAATGGAGTGATAAGCTCTTTATTTCTTTTTATCTTAGAAGTGTGATGTTCTGTGGGAAGACTTCCATCAGAAACTAGTGGATGGATCCTTGCTGACACTAGACACCTACCTGGGACAGTTTCCTGACATAAAGGTATTCCACTCTGCCTGTACCAGGAAGAACGTTCTCATGCAGTTATTGAAGTCAAGATCAGGAGAATTAGGTCCTCAAACAAACATCAGAGGGAATCGGTAGCTTTTCATTGATTTAAGCATGGGATTTTTATTCTGTTCCTATTAGTTGGAAATGAAATATAGTAGCAGAAATCATATCTTTCCCTTTAATGAACCATTTCAGCTTTTCTTTCCCTGACAGCTTTTTTAAGTCTATAGATTTTAAATGGTAAGTCAGAGGTGCCCTAAAATTCCGCCCTTCTTTATGTTTAAGCATTTTTTATTATGTAGCACATCACGAGGATTTCCATCAGAACAGACAATGGTTACAAGAAAAGAAGAAGCTTCCCTGCAAATGTGAGAGTAGAAGCTGCTCTTCTTTACTCCCTATTTTGCGTGTGTTTATCATGCACCTTGGGTCTTTGTTTCTTGAAATTTTAAGGTTCTAAAATACCTAAAATAGTAATATAATTTAAAACACATTAACACCTAGACCTAAAAAATACGTTGTCTAGAAGATATGTCAAAACACATTAACACCTAGACCTAAAAAATACATTGTCTAGAACATATTTATTATTTGACACATCTATTACAAAGACAAATAAGCAAGTGAAGGATTGAATACGTAGACTTGGAACTGACTGTGGAGGTAAAGCAGATCTCTGAACCCTCTAGATTGGTTGTTCATAGCAAATAAACAGCATTGTGCACCTGCACCCCTACTGCCCCAGCTTTTTCCTGTTCGAGGAGTGCCTGGTAAGAAAGCCACCTGCAGTTCTTCCGCTAGGGCGAGGAGGCCGTGAGTGCCATCACATCATCTGCAGGAGGTCTCTCATTAGGTGTCTTCCGAGGAATAGCTTTCCTTTCACCCGACTTCTTCATAGCCATGGCCAAACTCAGGCGACTGTCTACAGGAATGTGCGCTGACCTTGGCCAAAACACAGCGTGAAGCGCCTTGGCTGAAACGGCACTCGTAACAATGACTTTAGTTCCCTTGGCCCCACATAAAAACCCTAATGACTGGTCAGCATGTACAAATGTTTTGGACAGATGTGTTAGCCCTGCTCGGAAATGACACACAGGCCATTTCTAGGTGATGGATCCTCAAGATGTTGTCATAATAGGCAGCAAAGGGATTTACTGAGACGTTGGGTAACCACAACCTAATTACAGAGTATAAATTAGATTATTATTTTTTAATTCTCTGAGAACTTAATAATTTAAATCATTTTAATTTTGTAAGGTTACACACACTGGCTTATAGGGGATGTATTCTGGAAGATCTTCAGGTTATCTTGATAAGCATTCAAATTTTGTTGTGGATTCTGTAGCATTTGTGGGGCAGTTTTAGAATCATTATCACACTTCAGAGTATTGTTTATCGCATGGTAATTTACTTACTTTTAATTTAAATTTTACTGTGGTAAGAATACTTAATACGATATCTCCCTCTTAGCAGACATTTAAGTGTTCAATTCAATACTGCTGGCTGTAGGTACAATTCAAATACATTCAAATATGGACCTAAAACTAGTTTGTCTTATTTGACACTTAACACCTACCACAAAGGTAAATACCCAAATGAAGGGTTGTATAGTGGAGATTTGGAATTGACTCAGGAGGTAAAGAAGGTTTTTGAACTGTTTAGATGAGTTGTGTATTTGATGATGTGCAGTACAACACTAAAACCCATTCATCTCTTGTAAGTGAAATTTTACACTTGTTGATTAGCAATTCTGCCTTTCAACCTCCCAGACCCAGCCCTTGGACACACCGTGTGATATATTCCTTGCATCTGTCAGTTGGCCAATGATTGATAGATTATGTCAGTGGAATCATGCAGCCTTTTTCCTGAGACTGACTTATTTTGTTTAGCAGAATGTTCTAATGGCTCATTGATTTCGTCACATATTCTTTTAAAAGGCTGAAGAATATTCAGTTATATGAGTATGCCACATTTTCATAACCATTCATCTACTGATAGACATCTTGGCTGTTATCTGCAGTGCCATGGTTAAGATGGGAGTGCTAGTAACTCTTCAAGACTGTAAATGAAATTCTTTTGGGTAAATACCCAAAAGTTTGGGGATATTTGTTGGATGATATGTTAGTTGTGTTTTTTATTTAGTGAGGACCTTCCATATTATTTTCTACAGCAGTTGCATCATTTTGCATTCTCACCAGAAGTATACAGATTTCAAATTTATAGTATTTTTTTAATAGTAGTCATCCTAAAAAGTGTGAAGGGATAGCTCTTTGTGATTTCAATTTAAAAAATATATTTTGCAATAGGCATAAGCATACCGATAGGTACATTATTCTTTTTCTTTAAATTAGCACATCATGCTTGTGTGTATTTATGAAGAACAATGTAATTTTTAAAATTGTTTTCCCTAAGGTGCATGCACTCACCAGAGAGAGAGAGAGAGAGAGAGAGAGAGAGAGAGAGAAATCACCCCCAAGGAGGGATGGCCATGCTGCAATCCCTTCTCTTCTCAGAATTTTGGACGTGTACGCACATGAACCTAGCATGTTTCTCAAGCTGCTAGACCTGGGAATCAAACCATGGTCAGCTATGTGGGAGTCCAGCCCCTTCGCAATGCAACCTGCTGGCCCTGAACAATGTAATTTCTTAATGCATGGATAACATGTATCGGGGTAATTAGTATATCCATTACCTCAAACATTTATTATTCTTCTGTGTTGGGAGTGATCAAAAATCTCATTTTCAGCTTTTTGAAGTATATGATATGTTGTTGTAAGGTGTAGTAACCCTACTATGCTATGGAACACTAGAACTTTTTTCTTCTAACTATAATTTTATATTAATTAATCAGCATCTTCCTTTTCTCCCTCCCCTCTACACTTCCTAGCCCCTAGAAATTATAATTCTACTCTAATGAAATGAATGTGCTAAGGTTTTGCATAGATTCCTCGTATAAGTGGGAACAGGGAATATTTCTATCTGTTCTTGGTTTATTTCACTCGACAAAATTACTCTAGGCTTGTCAATTTGTCTCAGATGAAAAGATTTTTTCCTTTTTAACGACTGAATAATATTCCATTATGTATATATAGTATATTTTCATTGTTCATTCATTTGCTGATGGGGTCTTAGGTTAAGGCCACATCTTGACTATTATGAATAGTGCTTCAATAGGCCTGAGAGTGTAGATATCTTTTTAACATGCTAATTTTCTTACCTTTGGTTATGTTCCTGGTGGTGGGATTGCTGGGTGATATGGTAGTTCTGTTATTAGGTTTTTGAGGACCCTAGAGTGATTCTACTGATTTAGGTTTCAACCCACAGTGTACAAGAGTTCTCCTTCATTTTCATCCTCACCAGCAATTTTTTTTTTGAATAGTAGCCATTCTAACTGGGGTAAGATAACACCACATCATTGTTTTGGTGATTTGCATTTTCCTAATGGTTAGTGGTGTTGAAAATGTCTTTATATACTTGGATGCCATTTGTATACATTCTTTTGAGAAATACCTGTTCAGATAATTCCCCCTTTTTTCCTGGTGCGTCATTTGAGTTCCTTGTATGTTTTGGGTATTAATTTCTTGTTAGATGAAGAGCTGGCAAGTATTTTTCCCACTCTGCAGGTTGTCTCTTCACTCAGTTGATTGTTTCCTTTGCTGCGCAGAAACCTTTTAGTTTGATACATTACTTGCTTATTTTTGCTTTTGTTACTTATGCTTTGGATCTTCCCAAAAAATATCTCCAAGGCTTATGTCCTTAGGTCTTTGCTATATGTTTTCTTCTAACAGTTTCATAGTTTTGGGTCTTATAGTTAGGTCTTTATTTTGAGTTTTTTATATATATGATAAGAGATATGGGTTAATTTTATTATTCTGTATATAGATGTCTAATTTTCCTAGTAATCTTTATTGAAGAGAGATTTTTTTTTTTCTAGTAAATGCTCTTGTTAGCTTTGTCAAAAATCAGTTGACTTTATTTAGGTAGATCTATTTCTGGGTTCTCTATTCTGCACTATTGGTCTATATGTCTGTTTTTATGCCAGTGCTATGCTCTTTTGATTACTATAGCTTTGTAATATGTTTTGTTTTGAGGTTAAGTATTGTGATACCTTCAGCCTTCCCAAGCCCCCACAGGATTGGGAACTTTATGGTTCCATAGGGATATTAATATGACTTTTTTGTGTGTTGAATATCATTAATAGTTTGATAGGGATTGCATTTAATATGTAGAATGCTTTGGGTAGTATGGCTTTTTAAAAATATTAATTCTTCCAATTCATGAACATGTAGTATCTTTCCTTTTTTGTTTATGTCCTCTTAAACTTTTACTGGTGTTTTATGATTTCAATATGGATATCTTTACCTTATTTAAATGTATTCCCATGTATGTCTGTATTTACACTTAAATTGCATTGGTTATTTGATTTCAAAAGTTCATTATTAATGTATAGAAATGCTACTGATTTTTGCATGTTATTTTTGTATCCTTCAACTATGCTGAATTCACTTCTCAGTTCTAAGAGTTATTGGGTGGAGTCTGTAGGTTTTTCCCGTACAGTTTTTTTTTTTTTTTTGAGAGGTTTTTGCTATAGGGCGCGTGCGCTTGCCAGACAGACAGAGAGAGACATAGAGACAGAAAGCGAGAAATCACCCCCCCGGGGGGGGATGGTCACGCCGCAGTCCCTTCTCCTCCATTTTCCTCTCGGGATCTTGGGCACGCATGCACACCTGCCCAGCATGAGTTTTAAGCCACCAGGCCCGGGACGCAAACCGCGGTCAACTATGTGAGAGTCCAGCGACATAACCATTACGCTAACTGTTGGTTCCCTCCTGTGTAGTTTATAAGATCATGTTATATGCAGACAGGGACAGTTTGACTTCCTCCTTGTCCATCTGGGTGACCTTTATTTTTTCCATTAACTGTCTACTAATTGTGCTAATATTTCCACTACTGTGCCAAATAAGAGTGATGAGAGTGGGTATGCTCATCTT